TTACGATTTTTTTTCTCATTGAGGGTGTATTAAGGAATGCATTATGATATAACCTCTTTTTGGGTCTACTACTGCCCTAAAATGGGGCTAGAGAGTGATTTTGACGAAAAATGCAGGTTTGGCGAATTTGCGGTTGAATGCTGAGAAATGGAGATTTTTCGCGAAAATCGCCCTTCAGACCCGTGCTAAAGCGGTAATACAGTAGGCTCTAGATTATCCGGATTAATTGGTGCCGGGCCCTATCCGGATGAAAAAGAAATCCGGATAAAATAGTAAACACAAACACCACCAACCAACACCACAGTATTCTTATTATGTTTACATCATGTACATACCAACACGAATTTAAAAGGTTAACGCCAAACTGAACGACTCAATGGTGATTGTGAATGGTAGCCGACAACGATAAATTACAATACAACGATTAAAGCGCGCAATGCGTGAAGTATTCATGCAGTCGTGTAGCCGCTAATGTGCGTTTTAGGCTAACTAACCGACTGCACTGCGTTTGGCGTTATGCGAGAAGTATTTATGCAATCTAGTAGGCGCTAATGCGTTCCACGCCGACCTCACTGTTTGGCGCAATGCGTGAAGTATTCCTTCAGCCTTGCAGGCGCCAATATGCCTTGCGACCGCTTCTCCGCGGATCCGCTCACTTATCGGAATGCGTACGTGGTTACATGGTTGCAAAATCAATTCGGATAATCCAGAGTCCGGATAATACGAAGCCGGGTAATCCAGAGTCTACTGTACACCCGAAAAGAAACCAAAAAAGGCAAAGAGGTCGGAATTTTTTATCGCGGCTCTTGCGCACACTGAGTACTTGGTACACATTGGTATTATACCAATGCACGAACATTTTATGAATTTTCTTATTTGAGTATTCCTTAGTGGCAAATATTTGCTGCGCCGATAAAAATAAATACCCAACCTAGGGGGCCAACATTTCAGGCGGCGCGCCGCCTGAAATGATCGAACTCAAGTTTGACCGTGAGACCAGTGAGACCTCTACAGGCTTGAAGTTGACTCGGTATAAGACTGATGCTCTTTTCGACTCGCGGTATAGCGATTTCGCGCTGCTATCTCGATGGCGGATCTTTGAACCTGAGAAAGGGCGGAGATTTTTCGGGAAACATTTATTCTCGAGCAGCCGCCGCAAATCAACGACATCGGTTTAACCAACCATGCCAGTTTATTTTCCAGCCGGGTGTTCGGGCCCACTGCGCATGCGCCGCGGAATCCGAGCAAAACTTATCGAGTTTTTAATTTATTTTCTTTTATCATGTACCTCCAGGATAAGTAAGGGTTCGAAACGCCGAAAGAGTTGCCGAAACTGTGGTGGGAGGTCGCCTTTCCGCGTTGTTGCCATATCGGCAGAGACGACTCCCTCCACTAGTATCCCGGCATGGTGGAAAAAAGTTTGAGCATCAGTGCTGTCGTGCTAAGGAAGAACGCCGTATGAACCTTTAGTCGTTGTCGAATTTCCCTGCATAAAATACGAATTTTCAAGGAGATTTTTGGATATTTTTCTTCAAAATTTTCAGAGAATTTGATCTATCGTGCACGGAAATTTCAAGGAAAAATACGCATGGTGCTCTCCAAAAATTAATGATTTAAGAGGGGAAATTTTGCAACTCCTGAAGGCTCATACGGTGTTTTTCTTGAGCACGGCAGAGAGGGCCCACAAAAGTTCTCAAACAAGGGCTTGTTTGTCAAGTAAAGTACTTAGCACGTCGTTCAAAACTCAACAGTTAGTAAGATGTCAGAATTAAAAAAATCGAATTCACTTAGTTTATAAGCTTGAAAATAAAATTAATTTAACGTACGAAAGTACGTAAAATATTAAAATAAACTCGTAACGTCACAAATTGAGGTACATTTGTTTCAACTTTCACCATCGATGCGTAATACTTTACTGAAGAAATTCGGAAGTGAATTTTTATTTTGATACCGCATACATCTAATATAAATCATACAGACTTGAGCAATATTGATCTAACTTCAAAATCATACGGCAAGGTTTACCAGTATCACCTGCAAAACAAGATTTGCAACAAATTCAAGACTATAATCCTCGAATAGATAACAAACTATATTGCTGCACGGAGGATGTTTTCTGGCGTACCTCGAAAATTGAAGGCGAAACAACACAGTGCGTATCCTCCATACCCTCTTCGTGTCTATTCTGCCTCCTCTAAATTCCAAATTAGCAATCACAACTGTGAGTATGGGAGTGCGCGCGGTTTTTTCCCCTCCTAATCGATTTCACAACGATGGTCCAACAAGCCTTCTCCCTGACTCGGATAGTAATCTGGTGAGGGAGCTGTGACTTTGGGATATTCTGTTCCAGTGGCGAGGCGTGAATCGATTATCGATACTTCTCAATTTGAAGCTATTGTAAAGAATCGATTATTGATGTGCTCGTTGCGAACACCCTGTTTATCGATTCTTTTTTATAGGTTTAAATCACATATCAATCGATATATCGCAAAGCACGCAACGCCACTGCTCTGTTCCCGAATGCTCATAGCGGATTGCGGCACATTAGCTGCATGCTTGCCCTTGAATTGGAGTCACTGCACCGTTAAAGAGATGCTCACGTGAAATGTGAAATGAGAGCCCGGGGTTGGGGTCAAGGATGAGTGAGCATTGACCGTCAAGACCAACCACACTCTTGCCGGATGCGTGATAGAACCTGCCCCTGCTAAGATACACTGAAAAAAAATTCTCGGCGTTTTTACCACGGTCCGTTGGTACCTTTACCATTCCGATTTTTTTACTAATTATTGGTAATTTTACCGAGACAGACTGGTAAGCTTACCTAAAAACCGGTATTTTTACTGTTTTTTTCAGGTAAGAATACCACTTTTATTGGTAATCAATCCCCGGTAACTTTGCCATTTTATCTCGGTAATTCTACCACAGTCGATAAAAAATATCGGCGTTTTTACCAAGGTCCAGTAAAATTACCGAGAAAGTCAATAATTTTACCAAGATTTCTCGGTAAAATTACCAATTCCATAAACGGTAATTTAACCAAGAAAAAACTGGGATCAAATAGAACCCCGAATTCTTGGTAATTTTACCCTTTTCTTGGTAAATACACAGAGATTTTTTTTTTCACTGTAGTATCGCTACTCGATTCAGAGCTTGATTTTGGGTATCAAGAGCCCACGTTACGGTAGATCGCCGGCGTTGGTTTCCAAAAAACACCAAACTGGCACTGTTGTGCTAAGGAAGAACGCCGTATGAACAATCGAGCGTTGCCAAATTTCCGTCGATACAATTTTCATGTTCGAGGAAAGTTATGAATATTTTTCTTTTAAATTTTCAGAACCTTTAGGCAAAATTGTGAACTAAACTATCTGAAAAATTGGGAGGAAAATATTCGTAAATTTACCAGGAAATTTGCATTTTATTAAAGGCAATTTGGCAGCGCCTGAAGGTTCATACGGCGTTCTTCCTTAACGCGGCAGGGCAGTGCTGCCATTTTATTCCCGAAGATTCCGAGGTTTCCGGAATTAATTCCGAAATTAATTCCGGAGTTAATTCCGATTCCCGCAAGTTTCGGGAAAAATTCCGATATTTTCACGTTTGAGATTTTTATACACCTTAATATAGATATGCCCTTTCTGCAATCGACGTCTCAATTTTGATCAAATTTAAGACATTGTGTGCTTCGAATTTTTACCTCTAAATTGCGTTGCGATGATAACTTCTCGCCCAGCAATGGTTTTAAATTAAAGTAAAAGAGAAAAGATATCTAGAAGACAAGCATACACTGAAAAAAAAAAAATGTCGGTGTATTTTTTAAGAAAAGGGTAAAATTACCAAGAATTCAGGGTTCTATTTGATCCCAGTTTTTTCTTGGTAAAATTACCATTCATGGAATTGGTAGTTTTACCGAGAAATCTCGGTAAAATTATTGAACTTTCTTGGTAATTTTACTGGGCCTTAGTAAAAACGCCAATATTCCTTATCGCCTGTGGTAGAATTACAGAGATAAAATGGCAAAGTCACCGGGAATTGATTACCAATAAAAGTGGCATTCTTACCTGAAAAAAAAACAGTAAAAATACCGGTTTTTAGGTAAGCTTACCAGTCTGTCTTGGTGAAATTACCAATAATTGGTAAAAAAAAGTGAGATGGTAAAGGTACCAACGGACCGTGGTAAAAACGCCGAGAATTTTTTTCCATTGCGATACACCTTAATATAGATATGCCCTTTCTGCAATCGACGTCTCAATTTTGATCAAATTTAGGACATTGTGTGCTTCGAATTTTTACCTGTAAATTGCGTTGAGATGATAACTTCTCGCCCAGCAATGGTTTTAAATTAAAGTAAAAGAGAAAAGATATCTAGAAGACAAGCATACACTGAAAAAAAAAATGTCGGTGTATTTACTAAGAAAAGGGTAAAATTACCAAGAATTCAGGGTTCTATTTGATCCCAGTTTTTTCTTGGTAAAATTACCATTCATGGAATTGGTAGTTTTACCGAGAAATCTCGGTAAAATTATTGAACTTTCTTGGTAATTTTACTGGACCTTGGTAAAAACGCCAATATTCCTTATCGCCTGTGGTAGAATTACCGAGATAAAATGGCAAAGTTACCGGGAATTGATTACCAATAAAAGTGGCATTCTTACCTGAAAAAAACAGTAAAAATACCGGTTTTTAGGTAAGCTTACCAGTCTGTCTTGGTGAAATTACCAATAATTGGTAAAAAAAAGTGAGATGGTAAAGGTACCAACGGACCGTGGTAAAAACGCCGAGAATTTTTTTCCATTGCGATACACCTTAATATAGATATGCCCTTTCTGCAATCGACGTCTCAATTTTGATCAAATTTAGGACATTGTGTGCTTCAAATTTTTACCTCTAAATTGCGTTGCGATGATAACTTCTCACCCAGCAATGGTTTTAAATTAAAGTAAAAGAGAAAAGATATCTAGAAGACAAGCATATCATATGTATTATCCTAATGGCAAGAGACTTACCAGATTTGACAGAGCAGTGTACGTAGCCCTTCCTTTCATAATGGACCCAGTCGAATTTGGCTTCGACCGCTAGCCTGGCGAGTAGACCCATATGCGAGCTATTCCATACACTTGTTCGTATGTCTACTGCTCTGCCCTCGTAATGGAGATCCGTCGGGTCGAGGTCATTTCGTTCGGTCCAACCTCTCTTCACGGTCAGTCTAACGCCTTCCCATTGGTTTGCAACACTAATCGCTAAAATGTTCAACTTTTCTTTTAGCCTCTGAAACAAACGTAAAAAAAAAAAATCAAATATTAGACGTAACTCGTAATCCTTGACGCTAGGGTGAGAACAAAATTGTTGAAAACAGAGACCAGGAGACATCCTCCATTGATATCTTGGCAAGATAGAAGCTTTTATTTCCGGGACCTCGACTTTCAACTGTCGATCCACCTATTGGGTGCATCTTTAACAACGTGTTGCGAGCTTTGCCCTCTGTGAACAAGCTGGAATTTGGTAAACTTTTTTGACAGATTACATCATCCGAAAACTTCTAAGTCTTGAAAAACCTAAAAAAAACTTTCAAGGAAAGTTCCGAGCAGTCGGTGCTGCCATTTCCCTGAGCAAATTCCGAATTTTGGAACTTTCGCAATTCCGAGGAACTTCACTCCAAATCTTCGAAATTCCCGGAACGTCCAGCTTTAGTCGGAATTTCGGGGTTATTTGTCAGTTTGACCAATTATTCGCACAAGTTTAATGATTTTTGATGAAATTTGACGATCTTCGGAACTAAATCCGGACGTACTTCAAAATTTTCTCGGTTGCCGTGTTTTCAGTTTTGGAGTTCCCAAATAAAGTTGCAACCCTGCTAATGTATTTGCTCCCTATCTTTGCTTGGAGAGTTCGTTTTGATGTAGAGGTGGACTCTCGGGGTAGGGTGGGATATCCCCTCCATTTTGGCCTCAACTTGAGAGCTTTTTTTGAGCTTGGAAGTTGATTTCAGAGAAAACCAGTGGTACCATCGTGTTTCTCGCGAACTTTTACATAAGAATCAGTGGCGTGGCGTGAATTGCGATTTATCGATTGTTATGCCATTTAAAACTATGGTAAAGAATCGATTATTAAGGTGTTCGCTGCGAACACCCTGTTTATCGATCCTTTTCCATAGATTTATATGGCGTAACAATCGATATATCGCAATTCACGCCACGCCACTGATAAGAATCAATGGTCAAATCGCAAATTCCTCACACATGCAACATCTCCATTCTGGGAACCTCGGCATCTTCGGTAAAATAAAATGGAAGCACTGCTAGCACCTCCTACACGAGGAGGAAGACCCACTGAAATATCGAAAAGGAACGTAGACAAGTCGAAAGTCCAAGTATTCAACAGGAGGTACAAGGAGCGCGAACAGCTGTTCCGCCAGAGCACGTGGACGAAAATCCAGGGTTAGCGCGGACAATACATTATCAGTCCCGACTTGGCACGGACCCGAGATCGATGATCGATCGGAAAAAGCCGAAGGTGTTGGAGGATCCGTGAGGGTGGCGCAAGGAGCGACCGGTGAATGAGTAATGTGCGGGGAAGGTCCCCGGTCGAGGAGACAGTTGCCCGGAAACCGGGAGAGCGAATCTGGCTCGCAGACAGTGCAGAACACGGTGACCCGCCGAGAAAGGAAGTCTCAGGTGAAAGGAACGCCAAAAGGCAATAAAATATAAATAATCATGATTAGTAGACTGAAACCGCAACGAAAGGTATTACGTTGATTATACACGAGATAACAATGGGGGTGCACGGGGCAGTGAGAGGGTGGAAACAAGGAGGAAGAGGGGTTGAGTCTGGACCGGGGGAAGCAACTGTTTAGGCCGGCTCCCCGCCGCGAGGGTTGGATTTTATTAGAAGAAATATTATGACACCGGGAGATTGATAACCGGGCTCGGGGATCAAAGAGAACACCTAATTGAAAAACCTGAAGGAGCGAACAAATCGAATCGGAACGAACACAGCCTTTTATGTCCTCTTTTACTTTTCCTCACCGCGAACCTTTCTCTTTCTCTCTCGGTCGCCCGCCCCCTCCCGGCGACCTCGCTCTCCATCTCGCTTCATTCACTCTTCCTCCGGTTTTTTCTATCCTCCACCCGCTTTTTTCTGTCCATCCTCGTCGTTTGAAAGCTACTTCTCTCGCTCTATCAGCATCTGAATCTCTTTTCCTTCCTGCCGTGTCCAATGATATCTTGTCGATCCGTGTCTTACATCTCTTCTGACGTAAGGACGTATCTTGATTTCCACTCGAGTCCCGGAAAGCATCAGTGGCGTGGCGTGAGTTGCGATGTATCGATTGTAATGCCATTTAAACCCATGGTAAACAATCGATTATTAGGGTGTTTGCTGCGAACACACTGTATATCGATCCTTTTCCATAAGTTTACATGGCATAACAATCGATAAATCGCAATTCACGCCACGCCACTGGGAAGCATGAGTTTACAATCATGTAGAACAGGGCTCACGTGGAAATCGGGATACGTCTTTACGTCAGAAGAAGCGACGATATGGACGTGCTTGAATGAGAAGGAACTGAATTCATTCTGACATGAGCCCTAAGATCCATAAAAATACAGTCATGACAGGGCTCATGCCATAATGGATAAAGTTCCTTTTGATCTAAATGCGTCTATTTCATCTGTAATCTGTCCCCGTCTGCCATCATTTTCATTTGTTTCCCACTGTGCGAGGTCTATGGAAAATAGTCTTGATCTACACTGGGATCGAATGCTCATTGCAGATGTGTACACGACTGGCAACCGGAAAGCTGTTTGGACGTATTTTTGCCAAACGAAACTATGTGCATTATGACGTGAGCCCTGTTATGCATATATTCTTATGGGTCTCAGGGCTCATGTCTAAGGCACACAGTTCTGTTTGGCAGAAATACGTCCATCCGTAGATCACTGTAAGGAGGAATTAAATGAGCTGCATCCAGGCAAAAATTAATCGAATTCTTCGCTTTTCATCCACAAAGCAACCTCTCTGTATGCAAAAATTAACGGCACTTACGGTGTGTCTCTTTGATGAGAATCGTGCGTGATGCAGTTCAATTTTTGTCTCTTACTCAGTTTGAAATGATACAACTTGATCTATTGAAATGTAGTCGTAAAAATAGCGGAAAATTTGGTTCTCATATGATTTTGGTCGTTCTATATAAAAAAAATATAATAAAGAAAAAAAGTGAAAGAAAAGGACGTGAAAGGATATGATGATCCATTGAATTACTCATGAATAAGCTTTAAAAAACAATAATACCTTTCGATAATACCGTAACTCAATGAGAACTCTTAGCTTGCCTGCTTTGCAATTTAAATATAAAGTAAGTTTCGTTCATCAGAATTCAAGTATTTCGTAGGCAAATCTGGCCACTAGGAAATAGTTCAATCAATAATTAACATTAAGTTTAATGGAAAATAATAGCATGTTTTCACAAGTTTAGATCTGCAAGCAAGGTAAAACCACCGAGCACAACTTGCAATCATAAAGGGAAACCGCAGTGCACGGGATCACGGAAAAAAAACATGGTTTACTTTTCTAACCTTTCGTTAAAGTCTCTCCGTCATAGGTAGATACGCCTTGTTTCTCATACTTATAATCTACAAACCGTAACGATATTTGAAAGTTGGCAACTCTGGACATAGCCCATTTGAAGGTATGTATAATTATCGATTATTTGTAATGGAATTAATGGAGGAAAAACAGTGTTGCCAACTCGGGAGAAACTTGTAAAATATTGTCTTCATATTTTGACCGAACTTCGGTTCGTGGCCGTTACCTAGCGATTGTAAAGCATTATGTCTACTTTTGACTCAACTTTACTCATTAGGTGATGCTTATACTTTAATGCAGTGAAAACATCGTTGCCAATTCAGTCAATTTTATTTCAAGCATATGCTTAAGGAAGCATTGGTAAGAAACCGAAAAGCATTGTTCAGGCCGTGAGAACTGACTAGCAAGATTGAAATGTGAAACGCGTAACAGCTCTTCTGCCATACCACGCAATGACGACGTACGAAAATTTAGAAATTGCCAAATCTTCGCTATTAACGAGTAAATTTTTTGAGAAGTTCCGCCTACTCTTCTCTAAATTTTTCAGAAAATTAAACGAACAGTTTAGTCAAACAAAGTGGTACAACAGCCCTGCGTCCGCACTATTTTGCGGGAAAAACAAGACCAAAAAGTTCAAAACTTTCAATGGAGAATTTGCACGCAAATATTGTTGCTTCACCTGAGAGTGCTTAAAGAGCTGATTTCGCAGTATTTTTTATAATATTTTTCTGTACTGAGAAAAAGGCTAAAAATTGATTTAAAAGTGAGAAAATGTACCGGTTCGTGACGTCATCTGGCGGTATTTCCCATTGAATCGCTTGTATTTTAACAAATTAAATATTTTCGTAACATCTCCTTCAATAATTGCTCGATTAATGAACCAATGGTATCCTCGTGTTCAGTTCACGCAGTAGTTTCCACTTCAACATGAAATTCTTCAAATTTCAGACACCTGCAAATTCTCCATCACAGTAAAAAATATAGTTCGAACCCTCTAATAATTCCAAAGACAACAATTCAAAACTCCCCTCGAAAATAGATATTTTTCAGAGTGAATTTGGCAACACCCGAGTATCCATAGGGTGTTTATCCTGGGCACGGGAGAGTAACAAGTGTATTGCATTCGCAAGAACGAATGCGAAAATCTCTCGGTCAAGCACAGCCAATGAGCCAGCCTCTCTCCGTATTAACCGGAGAAGGACAAGCTGCGAGAGTCTCTATCCTTTTTTTGCCAGTAAATCTGCAGGAGCTTAGAGGGAGAAGGACTGAGGAATCTCTGGAGAGGGAATGAGAGGGAAACACCTAGGCAAAGCACAAAAGAGGGTTCCGCTGTCCGCTATATCATTAATCTACCTGGTACCGAGCGCGCCCGAAGAACCACTGGACAGACGTGGTAGCCATCGAAGAGGCGGGGTCTTCAGACACCTCCCTCGCACCTTCCACCTTCCCTCTCTTCCCCCCCCCTCTCTCTCTCTCTCGACTCTCCGGGATGACTCCGCTTCTCTCCTCTCTCTGGATTCTCTTCCATGTCCAGAGCGGAGCGGAGCTGCTCCTGGCGCTTGGTCCGTCCACGCTCGATTTTCCTGTTAGGTGATTCACGAAATATCTCAGCCGTGGGAATGACGTCATCGCATCTGAAGAGTGGAAATTATAATGTCATCAGGTGGTACTGAGATTGTACA